GAAATGAGTGATCTGAACGATCGTCTTGCCACCTACATCGAAAAAGTAAGCAAAACCATTTCTGTAAGCAAAGGCAATTCCTCAAAAATGTCAGGGCACCTCGGAAATCCCGCGAAAAGTCACCAAGAATTGATAAGGTGTATGCTGCACTATGGTAACACTATGTGCTGCAGCGCCAGTTAAATAAAATGGCACGCACACGAGTGGCATACATAAAGATATAAGTGCTTCTGTGGCTGAATGGAGCATAAGGGCCGGTAGTGTAAAGGATAATATACGCCATAATTCGAAGGATCCCGAGTCAGTGAAAATGAGGAGTTCGATCCCCCATTGATCTATAAACGCTTTGCAAAAGGGGGATCCGTTCAGGACACTAGGAATCGCTCACTAATTTAGGGCGAAAACAAAACGATTCAGGTGTGCTGAAGCTTGTCACAGATTCCTGGCTTTTTTTAGCCACATGATTACATTTTAAATGCTTATCACAAAAACGTGAGTGGCTTTGAGGAAGTGGGATATATCGGCTTATTTCCGTGCTTCACACTGTAGAAGGATTCCAAGTTTAATAAATTATGCTTCAAAATTACATGAATTTATTCTAAAATTCATTGAGTTTCGAACTGAGAACAGCTTCACAATTTTCACTCTCTCTACGAGGGCTGTACCAGAGAATTCGACATGCTGAATACGTATACAGCTGCTAATTTCGTTTTGGTTAACGATGTTACGATGGGCACAGGCGCGCAGTAAATTTCCATTAGATCTAGCTTTCAGCCAAAATCTTCTCAATTGGCGTAAATGATTGTGCCAGCCTCTGTGTCTAAACCGGATTTTCGGCTTCACTTCACTGAGTCGAATCAAATGTACGGTGCCATCCTGTGAATGTCCGAAATACACCAAAAGCCTAAAATGGATAGTGTGGCAGAAATTTGCGCACTTTTGACTATGCATATAAAACAAATACACATCACGTTGAGTTTCTTTTTTCACATAAACGAAAATTGCCATCTAAAGATGTAAAAGTGGAACAATGCGGACCAGTTTTGAGGCCACAGACCTGAAATCAAGCAGTTTTGATGACAAAAAACTGAAATCAACTTTCAAACCTGAAATTGCCTGTAATTCCTAAACTTAATTCGAGGCCAATACTATGAACGCACTACAAAGAAAATTCTAAATCAAAATTTCTGAAGGATTGCTGGTCGGCAGATCATAAATCAACTTTTAATTTATCTCGATAATGGTTTATGATCTCATTCTCAAACTAGGCTTTATGTGTCAACACAAAAAGGCGGAGAGCGCGAATTCGAAGTTTCGGAAGTTCTTTTGAGGAACTCGGGATTTTTCATCTCAAAAAAGGCCAAAAAGAAATAAAATCACTGTTTTGCGTTCTTTTGTGTTTCCACAAATGCA